GTAGCCCCTACTCTCTCGGGGCACTCTCTCTTCCTTTGGGACCGAAAAGAGATTGGGTAGGGAGGGGGAGCTCCCTGGCTTCTGCCAGAGAAGTGGGGTTCAGGCCCTTCACCTTCCTGAGGTCAAGGAGTCGGAGCCCTCAGAACATCTGGAATGTGGCTGCTCTGAACTGGGATATGCTAGAAGTGTAAAATATGGGGTGAGTTTTAAAGATTCAGGACAAAGAAATGTAAAATATTTCATTAATAATTTTATACAGATCACACATTATAATGATACTTTGGATATATTGGGTCAAATAAATTATATTATCCCAAATCAATTCCACCTGTTTCTCTTTAGTTTTTTTAACCTGGCTACTAGAAAATTTAAAACTCCAGACAGGCCTAGGTCACATTTATATTGGACAGGCTGTCTTAGAGGACGGCCTCCCTTCTGAAGCTCAGGCTGCCTCCAGTCATGGTGGAAGGGGAAGTGGAGCAACGAATAAAGGAGGTGGGTGCCAGGTGCTTTCAAACAACCAGCTCTCATGTTTCATAGAGCCAGGAGTCACTCACTAACACCGGGACAGCACTAAACCGTTCCTGCAGGATCTACCCCCAAGACCCAAACACCTCTCACTAGGCCCTGCTTTCAACATTGGGAATCAAATTTCTTTTTCTTTCTTTCTTTTTTTTTTTTGCTAGAGGCCAGGAAGTTTGTAAAATATGAAAATGTTAAATAATTTGTCATTTTGTTGTTTCCATTTATGAACAAAGGACTTAATAAAAAATGTAAGATGTAACATTACAATAAAATACATTCATTTCAATATTATGCTGGAATTCAACGTTGCTTTGACTGGGGCTGCAGAAGCAATGCAGAGCTGCTTCCTCCTCCAGACCTCACAGCTCAGCAAGCCTCTAAAGGGCTGGCTGCTGGCCACTGCGTTTTCAGTTTTTTTTTTTTTTTTTTTTTTTTTTTTTTTTATTATACTTTAAGTTCTAGGGTACATGTGCATAACGTGCAGGTTTGTTACATATGTATACTTGTGCCATGTTGCTGTGCTGCACCCATCAACTCGTCAGCACCCATCAACTCGTCATTTACATCAGGTATAATAGGTTCTCTTCCTTCCAGGTAATTAACAAACAAGGCCAAAGGTGTTTGAAAGTTTCAGAAAACACAGGAATTTTCTTTCTGTGGCTCACCAGTATTTTCATTTCTAATATCAACAATACCATATGCAGGCCACAGCTGAGCCAAAACACATGATGAATTGAATCTGAAGTCAGATTGTACCTAATATTTAGGGCCATATGCATTACTAAAAGGGACATTATCTTCCAACTATTCCAGTAAGTTCCCAAGACTCGGTTCCCACTGGGTACTCGCCTGTGGTGGTGCCCCTGTACTTGTTACTGGGGGCAAAATGGGACAGTGCTTGCTGAGTTCAGAGCTGAGGGGCTGCGGTGCCATGCAGGGAGCGTGACTTCCCACTGAATAACACTCCTCTGTGAGAGTGGCCTGGCGGCCAAGGCCAGAGGGCTCAAGGCAACTGTCTCCTGTTTTCCTAACAAGCAACATTTTCAGGGAAAAACCCCAGCTTCAATGTAGGAATGTTTGGATGGTGGCTCAGGCCTGGGACTGAATTAAAAAGGAATAAAGAGATCAAATCCACATTTTAATTATAAACAAATATCTCACTGAAAAAGTCCAGACCCATACATCTATGTATGTATTAGTTATCAGAGTAGTTTAAAATGTGAGGAAATTATACAGTGTGTGTCCCTTATATATTTCTCCCCCGCCACCACTTTTTAAACATCTAAAGTTCCTAACACATAGATACACTTTATGAGGGGAAAAAAAAACCTATTGACATTGATAGTTTGAAAATTTGTCCTCTCCAAATCTCATGTTGAAATTTGATCTCCTAGTGAGACTCTGTCTCTACAAAAACTAAAAAAATTAGTTGGCATGGTGGATTGGGCCTGTTATCCCAGCTACTCAGGAGGCGGAGGTGGGAGGATCTCTGGGGCCCCAGGAGTTGGATGCCACAGTAAGCTATGACTCAGCTCAGCCATGGCTTCTATAGGGAGCTACAACTGCACTACTGCACTCCACCCTGGGTGACAGAGTCAGATTATCTCCTTAACAAAACAAAACCAAAAAAAAAAAAAAAAAAAGAAAGAAATTTGATTCCCAATGTTGAAAGTGGGGCCTAGGCCAGGTGCAGTGGTGCATGCCTGTAATCCCAGCACTTTGGGAGGCTGAGGCAGGCAGATCACAAGGTCAGGAGATCGAGACCATCCTGGTTAACATGGTGAAACACCATCTCCACTAAAACAAAAAATTAACCAGGCATGGTAGTGGGCACCCATAATCCCAGCTACTTGGGAGGCTGAGGCAGGAGAATGGCATGAACCTGGGAGGTGGAGCTTGCAGTGAGCCAAGATCATGCCACTGCACTCCAGTCTGGGTGGCAGAGTGAGACTCTGTCTCAAAAAAAGAAAAAAGAAAAAAGAAAAAAAAGAAAGTGGGGCCTAGTGAGAGGTGTTTGGGTCTTGGGGGCAGATCCTTCAGGAATGGCTTGGTGCTGTCCCAGTGGTAGTGAGTGAGGTCTTGCTCTATGAAACATGAGAGCTGGTCGTTTCAAAGCACATGGCACACACCTCCTTTCTTCCTTGCTCCACTTCCCCTTCCACCATGACTGGAGGCTTCCCAGGGTCCTCACCAGAAACAGATGGTGGGGCCAGGCTGGAACAGCCTGCAGAATCATGAGCCAAATAAACCTCTTTTCTTCATAAATTACCCAGCCTCAGGTGTTCTTTTATAGCAACACAATATAGACTAATACAGACATCAATGTGAATATTTAATATTGGATTTTTTTTTCATTTTCTATTTTGTCTGTATAGCTAACATTAAAGAAGCCAAAGATATAGAACGCTACATCTCAGATATTGCCTTTTGTAAAAAACATGAAGGTAAAAACTTCATTTCTTCAAGTACTAATCAATGATAGTTGTACTTTGCCCATTCTATGCAGAATACAGTTCTATGAACCATGGGGAGATGGAAAATAACCATGTCCCAGCCTTCCAGGGAAGTCCCTGGATCTCTTTCTTTCATTGGGTCTTGTCTCTTTCCCTCAGTAAAAGAACTCTCCTTCCACTCTGCCTCATTCACATTCACTTGGGAACCAAAACCTCACCCCACAGCTTAGTATTCCCAGTTGTGGAACAATTCAGTCACCTTCTAGAATGAGACAAATGTGAAGAAGCCAAACATGTAAAAACACTTATATGGATCGATTTATATGAAATGCCCAGAGAAGACAAATCTATTGAGATGGAAATTAGATTTGTGGTTGCTTACAGCTGGGGTAGGGACTGGGGGGAATAACAGGGGAATACCTAAAGGGTACAGGACTGATAAAAATGTTCTAAACTTAACCATGGTGTTGGTTTCACATAACTGTGATTATAGTAAACTCTAGTGGATCATAAGGTATGTGAATTTTTCCTCAATAAAGCTGTTTAAAAATAAAATTAGGCTGGTCACAGTAACTCACCCTGTAATACCAGCACTTGGGGAGGTAGTGGCAGGAAGATTGTTTGAGACCAGGAGTTCAAGTCCAGCCTGGACAACAGAGTGAGACCCTATCTCTACAAAAGATTTAAACAATTTAGCCAAGCATGGTGGTGTGTACTTATAATCCCAGGTACTCAGGAGGCTGAGCTGGGAGGATCACTTGAGCCTGAGAGTTGGAGGCTGTAGTGAGCCGGGATCATGCCACTGCACTCCAGCCTGGGAGACAGAGAAACACCCCAACTCAAAAAAAAAAAATTATTACGAACTATTTTATACATACAAAACTACACACACACATACACACACACACACCGACTCACATAAAAGTAAAATAAATACATTGTAGCCATCACTTACACCACTACATTTGAAGCCATCTGCATGGTTGGCCCTTCCTTAATATACATCTAGGACAATCATTCATCTGAAGTTTTACAAAAAGTATTATTTCCCTGACTTTCATTATACTTTTATTACATAATAATAGCTCTAAATAATATATCGTTTCTCTAAATAATATACTGTTTAACTTTGTAAGTTTTTACACTTTCTATAAATGTGCTATGTATCTCTGTAACTTGCATTACTCATTCCACACTGTATTTTTGAGAGCCTTCTATATTTTAAATAGTTTCCTGTTCAATTCTATGTATTGCTTACTAATTAGTCTTTAAATTGAATATACTCAGACCTACCCGAGAGAGAATCCTTGTGAGATAATGAGTATAAAGTGCTTAGGCCGGCGCCAGTCCCCTGGGCCCACGTTTCTTTCTCTATACTTTGTCTCTGTGTCTCACTTCTTTTCTCAAGTCTCTAGTTCCACCTAAGGAGAAACGCCCATAGGTGTGGAGGGGCAGGCCACCCCTTCACTGACCTTGTGATCCGCCCACCTTGGCCTCCCAAAGTGCTGGAATTACAGGTGTATGCCACCGCGCCTGGCCCACTCTATTTTTTTATTTTTTATTTTTTGAGACAGAGTGTCTGTCGCCCAGGCTGGAGTGCAATGGCGTGATCTCAGCTCACTGCAACCTCCACCTCCCACGTTTAAGCCATTCTCTTGCCTCAGCCTCCCAAGTAGCTGAGATTACAGGTGCTCGCACTACGCCCAGCTAATTTTTGTACTTTTGGTAGAAGCAGGATTTCACCCTGTTGACCAGGCTGCTCTCGAATTCCTAACCTCAGGTGATGCAACTGCCTCAGCCTCCCAGAGCGCAGGGATTACAGGTGTGAGCCACAGAGCCCAGTCTCTTAACTCTGTTTCCACAAGAGTTTTTCCTGTTAGTTACTGATTATCCATTGTATCTTTATCCTTGAATCACCTGGGAGGAACCATCTTTAAATAAGTGTGGTCACGTCATGCACTTTGGCTGTCGGTTGGTTACCACTTAAGGAATAGATGTCAGTGGCCTCCGTGCCTTTGGGCCATGTCGAAGGACGCCCTGAATCTGGTGCAGATGAAGGAGCAGACTTTGCAGCCGGAGCAACAGTCCAAGCTCAAACAACTTGTCAATGAGGAGAACTTACGGAAGCAGGAGGAGTCCGTGCGGAAGCACCATCAGACCTTCTTGGCGTCCATCAGGACGGCTGTCACCATGTTTGGGGAAAGATTCCGTGCCTTTGTGACAGACCGGTACACAGTGACAGCCACGGTGGTTGGGCTGACGCTGCTGGCTGTCGGGGTAAAATCAGCCAAGAATGCGACAGCCGCCGGGGCCCTCTTCATCGAGGCTGGGCTGTTGAAGCCATCCCTGGTGAGCGAGAAGTCCCGCATCACGTTGCTGGCCAGCGGCTCCTCAGTGGGTCCCAGGATGTGCTGGAGGGTGTTGTGCTGAGTCCCAGCCTGGAAGCGCAGGTGCGCAACATTGCCATAGCAACAAGGAACACGAAGAAGAACTGCAGCCTGTACAGGAACGTCCTGCTGTACGGGCCACCAGGCACCGGGAAGACGCTGTTTGCCAAGAAACTCCCTGTGCACTCGGGCATGGACTACACCATCATGACAGGCGGGGACGTGGGCCCCATGGGGCGGGAAGGCGTGACCGCCATGCACAAGCTGTTTGACTGGGCCAATACCAGCCGGCGCGGCCTCCTGCTCTTCCCGGACGACGCGAATGCCTTCCTTCCGAGGAGATAAACGAGGACCTCAGAGCCACCCAGAGCGCCTTCCTAAGCCACACGAGTCAGCGCAGCAACAAATTCATGCTGGTCCTGGCCAGCCACCACCCCGAGCAGTTCCACTGGGACATCCGCAACTGCATCGACTTGGTGTTTCACTTCGACCTGCCGCGGCAGGAGGAGCAGGAGCGCCTGCTGAGAATGTATCTTGACAAGTATGTTCTTAAACAGGCCACAGAAGGAAAGCAGCACCTGAAGCTGGCCCAGTTTGACTATGGGAGCGTGGAGATCGCTCGGCTGATGGAGGGCATGTCGGGCCGGAAGATCGCACAGCTGGTTGTGTCCTGTCAGGCCACGGCGTATGCCTCCGAGGATGGGGTCCTCACGGAGTCCATGCTGGATACCTGTGTGCGAGACTTTGTCCGGCAGCACCAGCAGAAAATGCGCTTGCTGAAGAGAGATGGCCTGGGCCCGAGGACGAGCACCCCTCAACCTGAGTCCACGGTGAGACCACACCTCACGGAGCCTGCTGCGGACCCCCCGCCCCACCCCTGCCTTCCTGGTCCCTGCACATTTAAGGAAATGCTCCCCCTAGTAAACTCCCACAGGTGCCACAAAAAAAATAAAGTGCTTAAAACAGTGCCCCATTCATTATAGGCATTCAATATTATATACGTAATACTATATACAATATTTTAATACTGAGTATATACATATTATGATTGCTCCTTTCTTTGTGGATGTACATTATTTCATCAACTGCATTATGAACTAATAGTTTTCTTTCTTTTGGGGGAGGGGGCAGGGTCTGGCACTGTTGCCCAGGCTGAAGTACAGTGGTGCAATCACAGCTCACTGCAGCCTGAATCTCCCGGGCTCAAGAATCCTCCCACCTCAGCCTCCTGAGTAGCTGGGACTATCGGCAGTGCCACCACTCCCAGCTAATTTTTAAATTTTTTGTAGAGATGGAGTTTCGTCATGTTGCCCGGGCTGGTCTCTAACTCCTAGCTCAGTCGGTGGCTCAGAACTGTAATTCCAGCACTTTGGGAGGCCAAGGCGGGAAAATTGCTTGAGCCTAGAAGTTCGAGACCAGCCTGGGCAATGTGGGGAGATGTAGTTTTTACAAAAATATTAAAAATTAACAGGCATGGTGGGGTGCAGCTGTGGTCTCAGCTACTGGGGAAGCTGAAGCAGGTGGATCCCTGGAGCCCCTATCATGGTGCAGTTTGGGCAAAAGACAAGAACCTGTCTCAAATTTTTTGGCTGATGGTTGTAGAGATAAAGTTTGAGCTTTCAAAAAATACAATATTTTAAACTAGTTTGCTGGGAAAGCCACATGTTGCTTCTAGAAACAACTGATTGACCACCAGGATCATGATGGTGACTTCGAAAAGCTTTGGTGTGTTGACAAATGAGTGATGTTGCTGGTCTCAAGTCACTGCTACTGCATACAAGGCAACTGCATGGTAACACCCATATCAAATGTAGGTGACCAAGTGGCAACATTTAAGTATTTTACATCCTAACTTATGTGCAACTTAAACCTACTGCCACACTGTGAGTTAGGAAATTGGTAGGTTTTTTCTATTGACTTGCTGTGCCCTATAATTTTTCCTATTTTAAATAATGGGAAACAAGTTCTCAGTTTTTTTTCTCAGAGAAAGTCTGACATTTCAGTCACAGATATGTCTGACAGTTATTACCGACAGAAGAGTTTCCAGTCTTTTCACCGTAAAATTTTAATTACTTGCCTGGGAAATTACTTAACTTCGCTCCTTCCAAATCTGGTAGTAAAATGGGTGCTCCAGAAAGATGTAGCACGGATATTCTGCTGCTTTGCTTGTCCCCGCACAGACCTGGGGCTTGAGGAGCCTGCAGCCACGAAGTACAGGGACATCATCCCAATGGAAAAGTGAGCCAGGTGGTCCCGCAGGCGCAGTGCTGGGGCGCAGAAGCGCAGCCTATGCACGGTGGGTGGGAGGCCCGCGGGCTCGGGCCTGTGTTTTTGCGGCTGAGAGGCCCCCACAGGACAAGGAGGCGCCGACCCAGGCTTTTGGAACCAGCGAAGCGGGGGTGAAACCCCAAGGGGCGTAAGGGTCCTTACACATGCGGCCGAGCTTTCCGTCTGCATAATAAGGGGTTGGACCTTTCCGTCGTGATTTTTTTCCCATTATGTCAGGCGCGTAGCGGGCCCTGGGGCGCGAGATGGGTGCGGGCGTTCAGCCAGCCTGGGGTCCTGGATGCCGGCGGGCGGATTAGCAGCAGCCCTAGGGACGGAAGGACTGTGGAAAGGAGTCTCTACTTCCAGGTTCCCAGTGATCGCTATGTTAGTTACAAGCAGTAAACTGACGACTTCAGACACCGGTCTCGGAGACCCGCGCGCAGTCCTCAAACATGCAGCCCCGTCGGCCAGGCGCACTGCCCATGCCACAGGGGGCGGTGCGGGGCGGAGGGGACGGAGCGGTGCGGAGGGGGCGGGACGGAGCTCGGCCGGGAGGAGGGGAGGGGGAGGGGAGGGGCAAGGCAGAGGGGGCGGGGCTGGACAGAGGGGGCGGGGCAGAGGGGCGGGGGACTAAAGGGAGGGGGAGGAGGGGCAGGGGGCGGGGAGGGCGGGGAGAGGCGTGGCGGGGTGGGAGGGGAAGGGGCGGGCTCGGCGGGGGCGGGCTTGCCCAGCGCTGAATCCAAATCGCATCTAAGGTATTTTCTAGCTCTGACATCGTACACATCACTGCATATGTGAATAACATGCCAAATGCTGTATAAACAAATACTGACTTTTTTTCTTCTCTGGAGGTACTATATAAATAAAGTATGTACATCGTATCTAGTATTAGAACATTCAAATCCCGTATTGAAAAGATTATAAATTGACCATAATCCTATAATTCTATTTAGCAACAGTGAGTTCCTTCTTAGTCGTCACTTTTAAAATATCTAAGAGGCTCGATGTCTTGGGGCTTCTTCTTTTTAAACCCAACATCCTTTTTCGCATTTATTAGTTTAGTACTTTGGTTTTACTCAATAAAAAGGTGGGGTCACAAAAAATCTGAATTATTCTGCAGTGTTTCAGGCAACCGAAGCTGAAAACAGCACTGTTAAGGCGGGGGGACAATTCTTATACTCTGTGAGTCTTCTTGTTTAATTTTCATTAAATTTCCAGTATAATAAGTGTAGGATAGCTAAAGTTTGTCTTTCTCTGGTAGATTAGTTAACATTTACTGAATTCACAATATGGCATCAGAGATTTAATCTGCATTTCCTAATTCTTATAAATTAAAGCTGAAGTTTAAGCTTCATTTGCACATCAGAAATACCACTTGCCCCGAATAAATAATGTTTTTAGTAGTGAGCATTTCTGATCTACCTGTTTGTTAAGAATTGTCTGCTTTTTTCAGCTGCTACTCTGCTAAGACAGAGGTAGCCCCTGAGCTATGTTATCAGTTCAGGGGTTTGCAGATAGCCCTGTATTGTTCGGGAAAAATAAACATGGTTTTCAAAAAGGAGGAGAACATTTCTATAACGTTGAGATTTTTAGTAATCAGGACTATTGATGTCAAATGGCTGTTGGGACAAATGACATCATAAAAAACACCAAATTTAAAATTATGTTTGTTTATGTTTGTTTGTTTTCAGATTTCTTAGTAGTAAAGGGGCTGTGTTTTCACTCAGGCTTGTATGATGAGGACGTTTCTCAGACCAGCAGCCATCTGTGAGCATTCTGTCCTGGACTTTGGGTGCATCTGTGAGAGTAGCTGCGCCTGTCGTCCAGTGAATAGCTCATAGTTGACACTTCTCCATCAGTATAAGCCTGGGTGTGGGTGACTGCATGGTAGAAGGGGCTGGGGTAGCCAGGGACCAGAGGTTAGTGAACCATTGGGTAAGATGTATAACTGTTACTCAGGCTCACAAGTTTTCAAAATTTTCAGATAATAATAACAAGAAAGTCCATCCTTACCAGTGTCAGTCTCTGTTTTAAGTGTTATTCATATATTACCTTATTTAATTCTCACACCCATGCTGTGAGAAACTGAGGCTCAGAATGTAAATAGGCTACTGAGGTCACATTGCTGGTGGATCTTACTTGATCTCAGGCCAGCTTGGCTCCTAAGTGTGTGTTCTCACTCTATTGCCTCTGGAACAGGAAGGACTATGGGTACTGTAAATTGTTAAAGAACAAGTTGAAAGAATTTTATTTCTGGCAACATGGGCTGACAAGGACCAGAAAACAACAAAAACTTCTGGAATACATATCATGAACCATTTTAAAAATGTATCAATGAGCTGCAAAATAAGAGTTCTCAAAGGCAAAAAAAATCAAAATTAAAAAGTGAAAGTAGAAACCCAAAGAAGTAATTAGATGCCATTTTTCACCCTTAAGATAGTTGGCAAGTGTCATACTGAAACTCTTTTTTCATAGTCTGGAATGAGGATGGGGCAGCAGAATAGCAGATAAAGTTTAGATCCTGTCCAAGGTAGGAGGGTTAGGAGAAGACCTCAAAAAGTAGGACACCAAAAAGATAGGCTTAGTGTAGGAGGGAACTATGAATCAACCTGTCTGCCTCCGCAGTCTCCTGCCCGCTCAATCCCTGCAGCCCCTGGAACAGCAGCAGGATTGTCCATCCTGAGAGAAAACATGTCTCCTGAGAGTGGGTATACATTAACATATAACCATGGGCAGCCCTTCCACTGGTGGCTTCACACACAAGCTGTATAATCTAAAAAGTCTCAAACTGCAAATTTAAAGTAACATCAGGTTTTTAATGCCTTCCAGGTGCCTGGCAAAAGCAAAATGGAAGACAGCTTCAAGGAATGTAAGTTCTTAATCAAAAATTACAAACATGTATAATGGGCAAGAGCCAGCAGAAACAATGGACAGAGGAAACAACCTACAGAGACTTAAGATATTAGAGTCACCAAACATCACATAAAGTGTGTCTCACACGTAAAGAAACAAGGGGATTAAAGAGCATGAGTATGAAAATAATCAAGTAGATTGGGAAAACGTACCAAATATAAATCTAGATTTGAAAAATACCGTAATTGAAATGGAAAGTTTAATGGATTAGAGTCACAGTCAACTAGATACTACCAAAACGAGAATAATGGATATGAAGAAACAAATACATTTTTAGACTTCTAAAGACTTAAGCCTTTCTTACCTGGAGACCTGCTCTACAAGAAAAATTAAAGGATGTCTTTTAGGCAGTAAGGATACCATATTGAAATCTAGATCTGCACAAAGGAATGAAGAGCACTGGAAATACTAGCAACATGCACAAATATGTGATTTGTTATTATTACTTAAGCCTCTTTAAAATATAATTGTTTAAACAAAAATAATAAAGTAATATGGAATTTATGACATTTGTAAAATAAAATGGATGAGTGATAGCTTAAAGACTAGGAGGGAAGAAATATACTGATGTAAGTTTCTTATACTAAAGTAATATATTACTTGGTAACTTGAAGGTAGACTGTGATCAGTTGAAGACATGTA